AGTGGGAGAACTTGCACAATTGGTGGCTGACTAAATACTTTTTTGCCCCACTGTACTTTCAGACTTGCAAGATTCTGTTAATGTAGCTTTACAGTAAAGTAGAATTAGTTCATCTGGCTGTGTTTCCTGTGTGGTCTACCTCATAAGGCTGACATCAATCTTGCAAGTCTGAAAGTACATCTGTCCTCCCAAGAAACTAGGGAGGGTCTCTTCTGAGCTTTTTGCTCTGCCCACATTCTTGCTATGGGCTCAACTGCCTTTTATCTGACCATTCCCTCGGTTGTGTATTTTTGCCCTGTCTCCCAAGATCATTACATCAACTCTGAAATAAAGACTTCCTACATGAGTCAGAGCTACAGTAATCTGCAAGAAGCCAGTGGTCACCCCAGAGGCCATGAACTCATGAGCTGTGTTGGAATTATTCCCCAGGGCATAGAGGTTAAATCATCTAAGATTAAAAGCCTCAGGAGCTACCAGCTCAAGATGAGATACAGAAGTTCACAGAGGGCCACTGCAGGATTTGTTATGAATATTTCAGTCTTGGAGGAATAACATGGAAGGAATTTCTCTTTCTTCTTTCTAAAAGAACTCGATTATTATGGTCAAATAACACAGAAGGAAAAACTTATCAGTTGCCCTAGAATGAAATAGCTGATATTAATTTAATCTTATTACAATAAGTAAATTGTTTATTGAATAAATCTCCAGACCATTTCAAGTCTTACTTCAGTATCGCACAACTTGTTGGGTTAATATTATCTAATTTATAGCAGTTTTTTTGTAAGGGAAATGGAAAGCTTTGCTTTCTAAAAGACCCCTTCTTTAAGGCCTGGAATGTTTTACATCTCATATTATTTCTACTCCCTGGTTCTCCCTCTCTTATTTTCCATTGTTTCTTGAAGCAAACTGCTACAGGACAAAGAAGGAGAAAAATGTTTGTTTTATATTCTAAAGTTTTGCCGCTGTGGGTTATATTTTAGTTTGCTACTTAATAGGTGCCTGTATATGTCTGTATGAAACTGGATGCACTAACTTTGAAAAATGGAACATGATTATAGTACCTGCTGCTTGGATTTCAAAATATTCAAGTGTGTTTTTTTGACAAAGTATTCAGATTGAAATAACTACCCCAGTAACTGCAGTTTAGTTTATTGCTTATTGATTAGTGTAACGACCATATAAAATAAAATAAGATAAAATAATAGAGCGTATTGGGATATAAAAAAATATTCAATGAAATATTCAGGTAAGATCACTCCTTGGCAATTGATCCCAATCTGATCTAAAGAGGAAGCTCTCAGTTGAATGGCTTTAGCTATAAATTTGGCAGTCTTTCTTACTGTCATGTGTGTGTACCTGGGAGGAAGTAAGATAGCTTATTGTTGGGGTCCCCATGGGCTATTCTGTCCGTTAGCTACTTTAAATGCTGTGCTGTGGCTGAAGCATATAGTGGGCAAAGAGGATATGAATGATGCCCTCTATTTGTCGCTACAGGAAAAGTTTGGCTTTATAAATCTTGCGGAAATTCCACTAATTAAGCAACTTACATTGCTCAATGTTTTGTTGTGTGTTGCAACAATGCATGGTGGTAATTTTTATGAACATTACATAATGTTTTCACTTAATAATCATATCCAAAAGGATCTGCTGCAATTTTTAATGTTATAAATGCAGTGCAAGAGTACGAACTAGCCAGATTACAGCATGACAGCTCATAAAGAGAACCTCAGTGGACAAATCAGTTTCTGATAGCCATCTTTCCTTTGGAAAAGTGCTCCTGAGATCTTCCTAGAGGAGCAGGAATTGAATCAGTTGGTTTTACTTCTGTCTCTGTTCTTTGAATTAGGCTCCCAAGGAAGCTCTGGCTCAAAGTGTCCTGGCAGAGGTGCCACAGCAAGTTGTGGGCTACTTCAGCATGTACAAGCTGCAGCCACCAAACAAGCCCTCAGCCAAGCAAGAACAGCAGAAGCAAGCCTGAATCGCCCCGTGGGAAGTTTCTGTGCTGCCTGTCAGTGGTATCCCTCGATGGTGATGCACAATAAAAGCCTTTTCATCCATTCTGCAAAAGTTGTGATGTACTAAGATAGCCTTTCTCATTTTTATTCTGAGTTGCCAAAGATGCTCTATGTTTAACATCCCATTGGAAGTGAGTTTGGAACAGTAATTTAAGCATACAAGGTCTCCAACAATACATACCTCTGGGAGCAGCAGAGTAGTTAACACGTGCCTTTGAAATGATGGTGCAACTGCCATGGGTGCTTAATTCTTGCATATGCTCTACATAAAATATTCAGTCTTTTTTCAGACTTAAGAAGGATTAAGACCAGGGTGATAAATCCAGGATATTTAAGCATCTTTCTTCATTCCTCCTCTGTGGCTTCTGCCTTTCTATTTCTGAACTTTTGCAATTTGATGAAGCAGTAAATAATTGAAAACTTGAGTATTATCTGGAGACTGGAACTGAACTGTATTACAATTTACAGATTCAGCTTGCATTGTAGTATTAAATCAAGGTAACATCTGACATTGATACACGGTTGCCAACAGTTTATGTCTTTGTTTCACAAAGAGGGTATAAATAGGATTAGGACTGCTTTTGTTGCTTATTTTATCACAAACCCATTTGACTTTTGAGGAATCTAATTGTGTAAAGTAACAGCATGGACTTAGAAGCTGTATATGTGTGTGCCTGGGGAGGCTTATCTGTTTTATAGCTGTATATAGAGAGATCTCTATGTTCTAGAGAATCTGTATTATTTTGATACTTCATAAAAGGTTTCTCTATGGATATAGCTAGTTCCAGGATGCTTTATCACTTTCAGTAATACAAACTGAAGTTCTTCCCACAGCGGATTTAGAGTAGCTAGAGAGAGTAAATTTTCTTTTTAGCACAATGCCCATGTATTAGATTATCTTGTACTGTATGTTCTTTCAGGTCCTCTGGCCTTTGCGGATTTTTGCCTTTATTTAGTGACAGTTAATGGGTTTGTGCTTGCATTTCATCTGCTTTTAGTGTTTTTTTCTTCATCCCCACTGCATACTGATCAGGAATCCAAAAGTATGTTATTGGACATATTTTCTTTCCATTTGTTTGATGAGAAAGAAGCGTACATAACATTTCTGTTCTCCTTTTGTTCTTCATTCTGGTCTCAATGCTCTGAGTGAAATGAATTGGACTGAGCTGTCTGAAAATGATTGTTAACTGCCCAGTATAAAGTTATATAGGCCCTATTCAAAAGGCAAGAATGAGAAATCGATGTTAAGAGCATAGAACCTGATATGTATGTGTTTTTCTAGGAAAGTGGAAGCCACCTGCCTTCTGTCTTGCAGCTTTGCCTTATGATCATGTTAAAATGGAAAATATCTACAGCTTATAACATGTCCAACCAGTGCCATGCTTAGAACTAGACATGTATTTAGAATATCATCTATTCATCTGATTAAATGTATTTTTTTCCATCAAGAATATCCTACGATAACCAAATCTTTAGCGGGTCTCTTATAGCAGCCTATTGGGGACTTCTTTCTTTGTTTCATGCACACTCTGCAAATGTATAGGTGACTATTTATTTAGAGTAGGGATTCCTTGCTAGTGGATTGGTGAGCAGAACTAGATCCCAGGAGTGTGTAAATGTATTATGTAATAATATACTTTATGAATATTACTTATTGTACTATGACCAGTTTGCATCAGAGGTTTATCATGTTTGGAGTCCAAGTATTTCAGGATCAAATAATTAGAATACAAAAACTATTTTTTTTTTAATCTGAGATATTTGCTATGAGCTTTTGTAAGAAAGATTGAAGTTTTATTTTTGCACTTTGTTATTACCTTATACTGTATTTTCAGACTTATAACAAAAGGGAAACAGCAGTATCTCAGCCAGGGGCCACTTCTTGCATGCTTTCCACTCTATTCAACATACGGTCTGTGTCTTAAGTCAGTAGTTGCCTATGGATGCCTCCCTTGGCATATGCCAGGCTATGCAACTTTTTAAATAGATTTTTTTTAATTGAAAAAAAGTTTGCCTTCTGAAAAATATTTTGTGACTAGCCTTACCCACTATGGCAGCCATGGCTCGCAAAATTCAACAGGTTCTCTGTGTTCTGGAAATACTGTGTTGCGCTTCTCCTATCTTGAAAAAGGATAGCATAGCCTATAACTATGCAGCTGAATCCATAGGAGCTAGGCAACTTTTAAATCTAATGCATTGCATTTCTTAATAAAATAATATGATTAGAACTAAATCCATAAATTATGAATAAAGTACCTGCTTAGTAATACTTGCTTTTCCTTATCTATGTTTTCAGCATAATTTTTCTAGCAACCCATTAGCACCACCTTGTGATAGAATTTGATATTGGCATATTTGTACCAGTAATTGTTAATTTTTCCTGTTTGATACTTTTCTCATAAAGCTGTGTTTTGCTTTGAAAGTATGATATATATAGTTTGCACTGTCTTATTTCCTGCATAATGCTGTTTTTTTGTATTTGATGTTGAAATTGACTTTGAATGTGACATGACATATTTTAGTGACAAATAAACCAGATTTGTTATATCCCAATAGTTCTCTTGTTGTCTTTTAACTTTTTCAGCTAGGAATATGTGTTTGCTGGCCTGCTGCTACTACTGCAACAAAAAAGAAGAAATGTTTTTGCCATATATTTTTCAAAAATTATCTTACATTCTCAGATTTATTCTTTGATCAAAATATTGTTCATGTTTGTGGACTAGCCCTTTTTCACTTGGCTCTGTTATCAAAACATCTGCTTTTGGATGTTGGTGGATCATTTGGATTGTCTAGGACATTATTGTCATGGCCATCTAAATTAATAATATACATTCTGGTAGGGAGAATTGCTTTAGTTTTCATTGGCCTCTATAACTTGTCCAACTAAATGTATACAATTATCTCTTGAACATACCAGTGTACCAAGGGTAATTCCTGGCTCCCTCTTGATTGGGCCAGCAAAAGTTGACGAGGCATTCCTGTTCACACCATAGTGTCATAATTATTCATAATATCATATGATATATTTTGGGTGTTCTTGAGCTAGAATTTCCTTGACAGTTCCATATTTTTGCAAGCTCTTATTTTGCACCATTAGGAACTCGTTCCTCTGTGTTTATCTTTCCACTCGATCCTTTAATGTTACCAGGACTAGCCATCTGTCTGTAAACCCTTGAGTATGGCTGGGCACAAAGGTCATCTGATTGGTGTAACCTACTGGAGCAGCAATTTTTGAATATCTATGAAGGGATAATTAAGAGTTTAGTAGACCAAATCTTGATACTTGATTAAAAAAACATTGTTGCTTCATTATAGAGGGGGAAAAGGGTTCCTGAGAAGCTTAAATGTGTGAAGAAGCAGAAAACTGAAATGAAGGTCTGTGATTCATTTGTAGATGCTTACTTACAATATTGATAGTGATGTGCAAATTTTGCGAGCTTAAGATACTTTCACATTCAAAATGAACCCCATACATTTGGCATACATCTTCAGGGTGTTTTATCGCCCCCATCCATCATGGCCTAAGATCAAGGGTAATGAGAGTTACAGTTCAAAGTGTCTTGAAGTTACCAGACTGAGAAAAGCTGCCCAGGAGACTTGGTGATGGCAGAGCTAATACTGTGCTAGAAGAAATACAATATAGTTTGATAAAAGATTTGCTGAATACATGGAGCTAACTATAGACACCCATATCTCTAACTTAATTGTTATTAATTGTTTACTAAGACATGGTTTGCTACAATTGCTGGGTTCATATAGCAAGCTAAAGTCTAAACCAAACAATTCACATCACATCATTTACTGAGT